AAAAATAAAATGTTGTCTGTCAATATGCTCAATTCACAATTACTTAAGTGGAAAAGTTTCAAGAAATGATTCTGAGATGATTCACTTTATAACATGGCGCATTATCCTGTTGGAAGTAGCCATCAGAAGATTGGTACACTGTGGTCATAAGGACATAGGTCAGCATGCTAAATTGGTATTAAGTGGCCCAAAGTGTGGCAATAAATATCCCCCAAATAGATGGTAGAAATAGATCAGGCTCAGTATAGCCTAATTATAGACTCTTACATTTTAGCTTGAATTGATTTATTTAATTAAAGTACGCTAGATTACTGTGTATGCAAATGTTATGTAAAAAAAATACACAAAATAATTTACTTCAAAAATTAGTTTTAATCAGAATCAGTTGGCTGTAATGGTTAATTTTTTTTTTAGATTTCCACTTTTTTTTTTTTTTTTGTTATTGAATATATAAGAAAACAATAACAATCTCAAATAACAAGTCAATAACAAATATTTCAATACAAGAAGAAATATCACAACTCCTGCTTTTGAAAAATAAAATTAAATGCACAGGCTGGAACAAAGTATAAAATAAAATAAAATACGTAGTAGTTAAAGTAAATTAATCAGTGGGGACTACTTACTGAAATTCTTCAATTAACTCAAACAATTTAATTGCATTTAAATTCTGCATCTTTCTCAGACATCTTTTGAAAAGGGAAAGTTCATTTTTGAGAGCAGAGATTGAGAGGGAGCATTTTGCATAGTGACATTTATGGATATAATACTTTGTTACAATTATTAGAATATTGATTAAAAATTCCAAATTTTTTTTTCTTTAATGGATAAACCGAATTGAATGTTTTGCCAGGAAATAAAATCTAAATTTATTGTTTTAGTTTTTGGGAATATATACAAACTATGCTCTAATTTCTAGATACCGATCTGTTTTTACTATAATTTAATTTGACAAACCGGGTCTTCTCTACATTCTTTTTTCTGTTTGGTGCGATTGCAATAGCGGGTCTTGATCTGGACGGACCGGAGGGGAGCAAAAAATAGCTCAGCTCCGTATTTTGACGGTGAAGGACGGAGAAGACGTACGTGGGCGGTGACGAGCGGAGGATGTGGAACAGCTCTCATTGATTTACATGACAGACAAGTAATACAGATAGTAGGATGGACATTTTATTAGAAATAAATCATACACTGTTCAGAATAAACATGGGGCTGATAGTTACATTTGTGTGGGTTCCAGCACATATTGGGGCGGAAGGAAACGAGAGGGCAGATAAAATGGCAAAAAGGGCAATTAAACATTCTATTAGTTTTATAGTTAAAATAAGTAAATCAGAAGGAAAGAGTATTATTAAAGAGAAACTTATGGAAATTTGGCAAAAAAGGTGGGATGAAGATAAAACAGGAAGATGGTTTTATAAAATTCAGAAGATGGTAGGAGAAAGAAGAAATGGAAGAAGAAATAGAAAGGATGAAAGAGTGATAACAAGGTTAAGATTTGGTCATACAGGACTTAATCATACACTTTTTAAAATACAAAAACATAAAACGGGCAAATGTGATTTCTGTGATAAATATGAAACCATAGAAAATGTTATATTAGAATGTCATAAATATGAAAAAGAGAGAAGATATATGAGAAGAGAGTTTGAAGACATTAAGGAGAAGGTTAATTTATTAGATATACTGAGGAAAAATTTAGGGAGTAAACACATACAAATAATTATTCGATTTCTAAAGAAAACGAAATTATTCCATAGAATTTAATTATAGTAAGTGTGTTTGTGAGTGAAGGAATGATATACAAAGCTGTGCACAAATATGTTTATATTTTTAAGTGTGAATGTGTGAATGTATGTTTAGAAGAAGTTAGGGTAGAATGTATCAGGATCAATATTTAAACCATCACGAACCACACTCCATACCAGTAAGTGGCGGTAATGCTACTAACAGTTTGTTGCCAACCGCCATAAAACTCGACAAGAAGAAGAAGAAGACAGACAAGTACTCCGTACGTGAGCGGGGCGGAGCGCTGACGGAGTATGTGGAATCTGGGGGTAAAGGAGGACAAATACACGTCCGGCTGGGTGCAGCGCCGGACGCCGGACAGTGCAATGAAAATCCGGACTGTCCGCCCTAAAGCCGGACATCTGGCCACCCTATCTGCAGTCGAGCAACTTTGCGGGATATACGAACTCGAGGAAGAGAAGACGGGTGCACAACGCCACGCTAGCGGTAAATATATGTTCGATTACTGGTAGCTATGCTAAAAGCAGCCTAGCTTAGCTAGGCAAGCTAAAGACAGCCTAGCCTAGCTAGGTAAGCTAAAAGCAGCCTAGCCTAAAGCTTTACTAAAGTGTATTTTTTGTGATTCACAGGAAGCATTATGCCGTCTTAACAACTCGGAGACTAATTGCAGGCGCTATGAACCGGCAGGGGTAAGGTTTAAAGAATATGCTTTCATTCTGCGGTAAAAGGACATGGATACGGATGGATACCGACCATAGCTGTACTTTTTTTTTTTTTCACAGACTACAGTCGCCTCACAATGAGGCGGTGACCTCCTATTTGCTCGGATTTGCACGATGTTGATAAAGACGACATTGTGTGTAAGTGACTTGTTTTAATGTTTTCTCCTTCCTTGTTACTGTGACTTGCGTTTGATTTTTTTTATTTTTTTATTCATACCACTCTCATTTAATTGTTTTCCAGCTGCCTGTAAGACGTATTATGAGACGGTATGCAGGAGCTTCAGATACACGCTGCTAGCCAGCACGCTGCGTGCGGAGGCTGCCAGGCTATCTGCTCGGAGTCGGGCAAGACGAAAGAGGGTAAGACTTTATTTGGTGACTATTTTTCGGGTGCATTGATAGATGTGTTGTGTCCATATGCAGTGCGCTGATTCATGTTTTTTTTTTCCAGCTGCTGAAGGCGAGGCAGAGTTTGCTGGCAGATGAGGAAGTGGAACTCTGTAAGTCCGCCACCGTCGACCTCATGTCCGACGAAGAAGATGGCGTCGTCGGCGGTGTCTCTGGATGGATTGTACGGTCGCCGCCATTTCGTAGGCCGGATCTCACTGAACTCTGTGTTAAGCTGCAGTCCCGGTTAGAAGCGATGTCGAAGTACAGGGCCACGCACAGTAGGCGTCTGCACATCGGACCTGCCTCGGAGGGAATGCTGCCAGTTACCTCCAACCCCGAGGAAGCAAACGGACCGTTCACGGAGTTGTAATTTTTAGATACGCATGTGTTTGGATACGCGTTGTATATAGTTGTGTGTGTTTTAATAAAGCTCTTTCTTTGCATAAACAGCTTCCTGGCAAATCTTCATTTCCTGTATAAATTCATTCATGTCCTTGATGGTAGCATAATAATTGTGTAGCAGTGTAGGATAAAATAAATACACAGCATATGAATGAATAAATATATGAATGAATAAATATATGAATATATATATATATGAATGAATAAATATATATATATATATGAATAAATATATATATGTAAATATATATATATGCCAACCAATCACGAGCGACTTCACTTGTTTAAAAAGAAGTGGTTCCGTCCAATACTCAGTAAGAAAATTAAAGCCTGGCGTGGCCACGTGTGGTTTTGCTGCCAATCACGAGCGATTTCATTTGTTTGAGAATAGTGGTTTCAGCCAATACTGAGAAGGTTATTCAAGCCAGACCTGGCCAGCCGCGCGGGTTTGCTGCATTCATATGCTAATTAGGGCCATTAGTACAGCTGATCGCTCTCCACCTACGTCACTGTCCGTTTCCGACAATTTGTGGCACGACAAACGCGGACAAGCACGGGTTGCAAATTGTCGGAAACTGACGAAAATCAGGCAGATCTGCGGGAGTTTACGGGGGTTTACGGAGACGAAAATCTCACTTTTCATGCAGTGCTACTGCCTGTATTTCAATCTGGAAAGAATAATTCGGGACGAGTCAAAACAACCAATCACAGCCAGAGGAGCGTCTGATGGAGTGTCAATCACAGCTCACACACGCTGAATCCCGCCCCCCCCCCCCCCCCCCCCCCCCCCCCCGCCGCGCAGATGCTGTGAGAGGGGTGGAGCTTGGAGGTGGGGCATGAGTGAAGCAGAGAGGGTGGGGGAGTGGAGTGAAACCTGTTTTTCTTCAAATTTTCAGTCGAAGTCTGCTCTCTCCTCAATGTTACAGACTGCAGCTTTAAAACAGTATATAGCTGCAGATCTAGTTTTCTCCACTTTAAAACTAAAATGATGGCCTCGTCTCTTACTGTTTGACTTGACTTTATTTTCAGTCACTTCCATCTTTAAAATGAATAGGTAATTTTTTTTCTCTTGCCTCTCCACATTTTTGGTGGGTGCACTGCATATGGGAGATTTTCTCTAAAATGTGAGTGACAGCCTGCTCCTATAGATAGTATCTCAGTTAAGACTTGTGCTTGTTATGAAATTAATTCAGTGTGAAAATCACGAGCTGCGTGTCACACCTCAGGGAAGCCCCCACGTAGCACTGCAGCCATTTTCCATCATCGCTCTCTGCCTGCAGCCAACATTGTGCATGCATCTGCATGACAAAACATGCTCCTTCAACCGTAATAGACATACTGTCATCATGTTACACTTAGAACGTTCATCTTTATAAAAGCTGAAATCTTCTTTTTGGCCAGTTTTTCGCCAAAGCAAACACAAGCCTCCTGAGATGTATTATCCTTTAAAAAGGAGGGCAAGCTGTGCCTCCCACAGAGTCATACTTTCTGTTTGTTTGTTTATTTGACAGTGGCATTCAGCATATCTGCCTTTAGGATTTATCACTGTTCAGGGTAGACAAGGTCAAGGCAAGGATTTAGTTACTGTGGCTTGTGAGCAGGGTCTCCTGCTCACAAGCTCAAAAGCTTTTATGCATCTCAAAAGAAAAAAACCAAAAACAATTTCTGATAGAGCTAAAGACAATACCAAATGAACACATGACATCATTCCCCTGACAGTTGAAGAAAGATAGATACCTTCTTGGAGCAGATGAGGAGTTTTTGCTGAAGTCACAGAGGAACAGGTTCACCAGGAGAAAGTCCTGCAAAACAAAGATGGCTTATCAGCTCCAAACGAAATAACATTCTCTATCTGCTGGAACAGAAACACAAATAGAACACATGGAAGAATAGATATTTATAAATGTTAAGAACTGTGTAAAGGAGGAAAAAACTGAGAACAACTCCAGTCTAGAGATGTACTGATTAACTGGACAATGTTTTTGGTAGATATTAGGTTACGTTCACACAGCAGCCTGAAATAACCCATATATGTTTTTTTTTGCCCAATGCAACCCATATCTGATCTTTTTAAAACAGAGATCCAATTGTTTTCATATGTGACCCAGGCCTCTTGGCTATGTGGTCGTAAATACAATACGTGTCTGATCTTTTCCAATACCTCTGCCTGTATGACCATGTCGCACCAACCTATTCTCATTATGAGTTCGTATGAAATCGTACGAAAAGTTATGCACCGTAATTTCGTACGTTTTGGACGTTTTTTTCGTCGTATGCGAATGCGCATCTGACGCACCATTCACGAATATAGAATATAAATTACAATTAGCCCTAACCCTAAGATATAAAACAGCAAGCAACGTAGTTAGAGACATGAATAAGTGATGATTGCACTGTTTTTAGCAGTTTTCCGTCCGTCCGCGGATCTGCTTTTTTTTTCTTTCTGCCAGCGCATGCGCACTGATGTGTTTTTTTTGAGGAAAAACTTCCAAAACGTACGAAATAGTGTGCATAACTTTTCGTACGATTTCAGATACTGCACTGATAATGAGAATATGTTGGTCGCATTCATCCAACCTGTACGACAAACGTGACAATTCTGCGTCCTGCTATGCAGAACCAGGAAGAACACCCCCCCCCCCCCACCCCACACACACACACACTTTGGATAGTAGTAGTAGAAAAAAAAGTAAAAAAGTGTTTTTGTCTAAGCCCCTTTTATTCTGTTAACCCTAAATACCATTAAGGCCTATAAAGTGCAGTTGGAGTAACCTGATTAGTAAACAGAGTCAACCTCAGGAGTATTATTCATTCTAAGCATGAATCCACAGCTATTCTGTCAATGTCCCAAGAAATTTATAAGAGAATATAATAGGAAATGTTATAAAACATTATTTTAGGCTTTGAAAGGTGCAATGTCAGCTGCAAAAACAAACAAACTATGATTCAACCATAAATTGTTTTCAGGACATGTCGATCCAGGGTAAGGCTAGCAGAGGGGAAGCAAAAAGCCATGATAACTCGATAGGGGATGAAAGTCTGTGTACATGGCAACCATCAATCGCTTTCCCCAAGTCTGGCCTTTACGGAACATGGCAACATTAATTTCCCTGCTGAAACAAAGGCATAGGAGGCTGCCTTTAAAAAAGTTATTTTATTAAAATCCATCTGGAATGACACAGAGGATGGATAATCAGATTAAGCCAAATGTAAACTTTTTTAGCCCAGACCAAAACACAATATGTTGGAGAAAATTGGACTGCGGAAAACAACATGACCGCAGAATGACCACATTAAAACATGGTAGCAGCAGATTCAGGATGTTGGGAAAGTTTTTATGATCAAGGCAGTTGGTTAGAATCAGTGAGAAGATATATATATATATATATATATATATATATATATATATATATATATATATATATATATATATATATATATATATATATATATATATATATATATATATATATATATATAGCTGGATTAACTGCGATTCCAGAAGAAAACCTGTTAGAAGCTGCAAAAAACTTGCGACAGAGGAGATCGTTCAATTTCCAGCATTAAAACAGCCTTTATTTAACAGAGGGATGTGAATACTTTCTTACTTCAATTAATATTAAGTGAGTTGGATGAAATTAATATTTGCTAGGAATTTTAATGCGAGAGTTCAATTTAGTTCTTCATGTTTTAAACCTGGGAAGCTGCTTTATCTCTTTGTACTGACAAGCTGAATTATTTCAAACCCAAAAGATGATTGTGATGATAGTTGTTTGAAGATATGTCCCGCTAGCTTAATTACTCCCTATTGTCTCAATGAAATCTTCATTTGTTTGTTACATCAGTTATAGTTTTTCTACAGCAAATTGCCACATCTTATTAGATAACGACTTCTAATTAAAAAATAGAAATGAGATTAGATAAATGCTTCCTGAGGCAGTACAATTCAAGGAGGCACACTTTGAGTCAGGTAAAAAAATAAATCTCTTTCCAACAGAGGCAATAATTAACTTCATTCAGTAAAGCTTCAATGATTTAAAAATATATTATAAAAATCTTATGTATTAAATTGCTTGTTAAATATGCAGTTTAACAAAAACATTCACCAGTGTAGTATCTCTATCAAACCATTCTGTTTTACTCAATGACTACAGAGATGGGCATATGATAAGAGATCCACACTTTTGCTCTTAATCATACACCTACAATGTAAAGGACTCCTTCTCTGATTCAATGGCATCCTGTAGTTTTTATCCTGATTTAATTAAATCAGGAAATGTCAAGTTCTCAGTCTAAATGAAGGCTAATTAAATACTTTACGATCGTCAGAACAAGGGGCAGAAAGGTAGAGAACAAAACTTTTGAAATGTCTACTGAGACTATATATATATATATATATATATATATATATATATATATATATATATATATATATATATATATATATATAAGTGAGTGAAAACAAAACAGAACAAACTAGGATTTGAATGGAAGCTTGCTCATTATTTGTATCTCATAAATTACATAAACCATTCACAATGAAACAGAGTTTTATATGTATGTGATGACCACAAAGGTTAATGGCAGGTACAGTATTTCAGGTTTGAAAGTTTCTCCCTGACTGCTTTAAATCTTCTCTTCTGGCCCACTGTTCAATGTTTAACCATAAAATTTTCACTTTGCTTGTAAATGAGAGCAAATTTCAGTCAACTTGGAGGTATCATCATTCCTATGGTGTTAAACCAACCAATTTAAGTGGACAACCATATTAAGTGTGTTCTTATCTGATTATGTTTGAATAATATTGACCATCTGCTAAGTAGAGAAAACTCTAAGAATTTCATATTATATCGCTACTCTTTTTACTCCCTAAGCTCTATTTGTAATATACATGGCATGAAAAAAAAGTGTTTGCCCGTTCCTGATTTCTCATTTTATGTATTTTTCACAAACTTTAATGTTTCAGAACAACAAGCCAATATAAATATTAATCACAGATGACACAACTAAGAACAAAATACATAAAGTTCACTTTCACTAGCCATACCCCATCCTGAGTTATGCCACATGTTTTCTAAATCCAGAGATCACTTAAACAGGACCTGCCTGACAAACTGAACTACACCAAAATATCCTCAAAAGCTTGACATGGTGCCAAGACCCAATGAAAATCAGGAACAAATGATAAATTAGGTAACTGAGATTTATCAGTTTGAAGAGGATTTTGAACACTTTTGGCCTTCAGCCAACTGATACATTATCTACAAACGGCACAGACAACAGCAATGAACCTTCCTAGGACTGGTCAACCAACCAAAATTAGCCCAAGATTGCAGCAACAACTCATCTCTCCACCCTTAGAAAGAGACATGGAAGAGACCAAAACTACTGCTGAGCCAAAAGAACATTAAGGCTCTGCTTATTTTTCCAGAGAACATCTTAATAATCTCCAAGATTTTGAAAAAACAATTTTCTTTAGAGCTTTTGTCTTTACTTTAAATGCAATACTCCAGTTTTGGCTGTGGTTTAATAATGTTCCATTACATTTGGAGTAAAGGGTGAGGAGGGAAAAAATCTATCTCCTATTAATTCCCTTTTACATATATTGATTTATGAGTGCTAAGTTTACATTTACTTCTAAAAGCATTCATTTAGGCCTCAGCTGCAAGGTGTCTAAGAGAGAGGAGGTGCTTATCCTATTAGGAGTTTTTTAGAATAAAAATCTTCCTTCTCATAACCAACCAGACTCTTTCTCAGGGTTTTATTCATAATATTGTTTTCTCCGACTGTCTGCAATTGTTTTGATTAACTGCGCTCTGACAACCTTCACAGCTTTTCTGCAGAGTTTAAGTTAGTCAGAGGAACCTTTGTCTAACCGGGCAGAACATTAAGCTAATAGGCTGCTATGATTGTCTTGTTCTCTCTTTGCAAAGACGGATAATAAAATTGCGAATAAGTGAATTACCATCCATCTCCTTTATTCAACTGGATTAACAAGTTAAACACATCAAATTCAGACAAAGAACATCATATAGCACCAAAAGTAAAATATAATGGTGGTAGTGTGATGGTCTGGGGCTGTGTTTGTGCTTCAGGACCTGCAAAACCTGCTTTGATAAAAGAAACAATGAAATCTGTCATGTTTTGGACAGTAATCTAAACCACAAGAGCTAGTTGGTTGTTGGATGTTACCACCAATTATAGTCTAAAGAGAAAAACTAAATTAACTCTTGGATGTGGCCTAGTCAAAGTCCTGATGCAGCCATGCTGTAGCTTGACTTTCAAAAAGTCCATTAAGGCTGGAAAACCTTAAATGGGTTAAATGGGGGGGGGGGGGGGGGGGGGGGGGGGGGGATGGGGGTCACGGGGCCGCCGGTGTGGGGGCTACGTCACTGGGTGGCAGGCTCTGACTTGTAATCTGTGATACTGGTCCTAATTTGAGCGTGCGAGGGCCGGCCCATCTTAAATCATACCGGCCCCGACACTTACTCTGCAGCCGAAGCACCTACCTGTGACAGTAAATACTCAAGGAGCCCATAAGTGGGCTGGTGAAGATGGAAAATCGTTCCCGGTCCAAAAAAGTACACTATATTATATTATTTTCCATGTGAATCTCAGATTGTTTATTCTTCTTTGCCTTTTCTAAAAAGTGCTTTAAATCAGTCCTACCTGTGTTTATCCATGCTGGGTCAGATCCTGATGTTTGAAAAAGGAGACAGGCAGTGAGGGCAACAGAATAAGGCATTAGCCTCCCTGCATGCAGATAGCCAAGCTTTGTAGCTAAACCAGGTCCTAGAAAATGACAGAGTGTACCGTCTCCA